TTTTTTGGTTGCAGCCGTCATTGTTGTTTGGCGGGTCCGGGCTGGGGATTCGAACCCACCACCTTAGGTGTACGTGGCTGGTGCCTTAGCTGGTTGAGCTATAGGCACCGAGCCTTAAAACCTTCTTAAGGATCATTATTATTAAATGAAGATATAATGGAAAAAGATTAACAAATCCTTTTGTATTCAGTTAGTAGGCCTCATTTTTTTTATGCTACTTGGAAAAAAGAACCAAACTTTTTATTATCTCAAATGTTTACTATACCATACTATGTGTTTTTAAGAGTTTTGGAAGGTTGCAAAAAAAGAAAAAACAAAAAAACGGTAAAGATATCACCTAGCCTTAAAGGGTTTATGGTTAGGAGAGGTCAGATCATATGAGATATTATTTTAACAAAACAATACAGTTGGTTTTCAGTTTTTTACCTTCTGTTAATTTTGTAGTTCTTAGTAAAGATTTGCTTTTCATTTTCTTCCTTTCATGATAAAATTTTTTAGTTATAAGATTTTGAACTGATGGTGAGTTTGCAGTATTGCTACCAATTATAAATGAGAAACTTTCTTGATTGCCTTCACCTATCAAGGCATAATTAAATGCTTCATTGGTACTTCCTGATACTTTTACTACACTTCTACCGTAGTACGTGCCACATTGCTATAGTCTTATCTCTCCTTCTTGACTGTAGCCTTACTTTATTCATTATTATCCCTAAGGCTTGCTACATAACCTGTACAAGAAAAGTACAAAACATAGTGATGCCAGCAAGTGAATGCTAAAAAGTGTAGAGAATCTAGTTGGGCAAAATCCTGTGAAACAATTAGTGATCATTGATAAATTAAAAGTTTAGGACGAGGAAGATTATAAACAGTAGGCATGATAGGTTAAAAAAAAATAAAGGACTTATAGGTCAATGATTCAGTTACATTGGTGAATTATAGGGTTAAGAATAGATAATGTAAAGCTGATTTATAGAGACCTGAACACCAGACTGAAGACTATGAAATGGTCCTTTGATATGGGAAAACTGACTATTCAATAGAGTAAGCAAGGCAGTGTCTCTTTTCATGTTGCATGAGTTGGCCCTGAATTTAAACCTCATTTGTTTTTTCGGAGGGTAATCTCATTTAATGGGTGATTTTCTCAACCCCCCAAATTAGGTATTTATAATAAAATAGCTTATAGGTAGAAACAGACACTGTAATCCATACATCCTATGCTCTAGCTCTTTGGTATTCTTCGTAAACACCCAGTGTATGCTTACTTTCAACCTTTTAGTCTGTTTGCCAGAAATCCCTTTGTGAAGTTTCTTTTCTAGCTCCTACCCGTTTTTCAAGTTAAGCTGAAATTCCACCTCTTCTAAAAAAGCTTTACCTTTTTAGCCCACGGTACAGTATTTTCCAATGATTGGATCTTCCCAAGTAGGAGGTGTCCCAAGTATCTGTCTGCAGCGTCTGGCTATTTTTAGAGTAGAGATGGGGTCCTGCTCTTGCTCAGGCTGGTCTCAAACTCCTGAGCTTAGGCAATCCACTCCCCTCAGCCTCCCAGAATGCTAGGATTACAGGTGTAAGCCACCGCGGCCAGCAGTTTTTAGCTTTTGAATTTTAATAGCGAAGTACATTATTATTTATTGTGAAGCATTGCTGTAAGGACATACTAATTTGGGGAGAGAAAAGGGGTGTTATGGCTTGAAAGATCTTTGGTTTAATTTCTACCTTTTTCATGGTTTGGGGACTATTCTGAAGGTAACTTACTCTCAGATTAGAGTTTGAGCTTTGAACTGCTGAGATAGGTGGTAAGTCCTTTTTATCAATTTGCGACATTTTATTTTGTGAACCTATTTTTTAGGGGTGGCTTAAATTCTTAAAATTAGTTTCTTGTTTAAAAGCAAGTAAATATTTACCATCTTTGCTAGCTATGGCAAGAACATGGTCATTTTAACTTTTTTTGCACTATGTACCATAAGCTAAAGAAGTGTATATTTTATGCTATTTACATAGCTTTTAGACAAGGCAAATACCATTTACTGGTGTGATAAATACATAGAAAGCTTATTCTGCAGTTTTATAAAGCGATAAACTACTACCATCTCCGACAAACCATTTTCTGTAAATAATTGGATATGTTATTCACTGATTTTTTTTTTTTTTTGACAGCTGGTTCAATTTTTCTTTAAATATTAGGTCATCAGTATTGTTGCACTCTGTTTAATGTTATCAGGGTAAGACCTAGAAAACTTGTTTGTACTTTATAAAGGTAATAAGCTAGTAAGTTAGTGAGCCAGTGTATGAAGGGCACACTTAATAACTTTGACTCAATCTGTACTAAAAACAAAGTATATAACAAGATACATGTACCCCTTAATATTCTTAAATAAAAAAGAGAGCCAGTATAGTGTAGTGGTGGATTGGACTCAGGGAAACGGGTCTAAATTAATCTTGCCACTGTGCAGTCTTGTGAAGTCTCTTAACTTCTCTAAGCCTCTGTTTCCTCATCTGTGAATTGGGGATGGAATTACTTATTTTTTTTCAACAAACAATAAATTTATTGAGCTTCTCCTGCGTACCAGAAATCATACTATATTTTGCAAAATGATTGTAAGGTCATTGGATTAATTAGAATGTGTGTAAAACACTTAGCGCAGTATTTATCTAGAATATCTGATCAATAAATTTTAGTTATTGCATTGTTACTAAGATATTGTAAATACATTTTTAAAAGTTGTCTAAACTTTTAGGGACTAATTCCAGGATTTTTAATTAAACTTTTAAATGATGCTATGCGTGAGTTTTTTTTTAAACATTGGTGTTACATTCACGTATTTTAAGGTTGACTTCAAAAACTAAAAGGATGGCGCCTGTGGCTCAGAGGAGTAGGGCGCTGGCTCCATATGCTGGAGGTGGCGGGTTCATACCCAGCCCTGGCCAAAAACTGCAAAAGAAAAAGAAAAAAAAGAATAAAAGCGACAGTAAAAACAAAACCAAACCAAACAAAAAAACCCTAAAAGTTAATTTAGCAGTTTTCCACTATAATTATTTCTCTTAGGAGAAATTTTATACGTGTATGAAATTTTATATACGTACGTGCTTTCTGGACCAACTCTATATTCTATTGTCTTTTAAGATAGAAATATATGGACCACTAATAGTAGTTTGGGAGGCAGTTATACTAAGAAATAATTAAAATGTATGTGATCTTAATACAGGATGGAACTATTATATAATCTTTGGGTAATCCTGGAACTGTTTAGTTATTTAAAAAAAGCTCTTTTTAACAGTATAAGAATCACAATTTTAAACAGACTTAGCCTGTTTTTTTTTTCCAAAAATGTAATGTATAATTTTCTTATGAAATTTGCCATTATATCTATGACTAGTACAGAATCGACTATGTTAAGTTCTAAATTGAATTGGGGAAAATGCTTATTTCCTTCTTTGTCTCTCTTGTTTTCTTGAAATACAAGTAAGTCCTCTCCTGAATATTTAATGTATACACATATGTATGTATATATGCATATGTTTCTCTCTGCCATTTTAATAAATAGCAATAGTTTGGGAAGGGGATTGGTCTGCCTTAGATTTGCAGTCATTTTAATGTCACTGCAATATGACAAGTTATTGACGTGCAAAGTAATGAAATGTGTTATTTTCACTTATAGATCGCCCCCAAAAGAAGATATTTAATAGGTTCATTATAGTTTGTTTACTTGAAAGCTTTTCAGTGAATAGGAACAAATTGTTTTCTTGTTTAAAAATTTGGTTAATGACAGCATCTTACTGTTAATTAAAATTTCAATTTTTTTATGGTAAAATTTTTGTTTTAATGGTCTTTATGACTTGAGAAATTTGATCTGTACAGTCTTCCCTTGGTCCCTTTGTATCTGTGGAGGGATGGAAGGATTATTAGTTCCAGGATCTTCACTGCCTATACATTACATATATCATCCTGTATACTTTAAATCATCTTTAGATTATTTATTATATCTAATACAATCTAAGTGCCATATAATTAGCTGTTATATTGTCTTTTTTGTATTTTTTTATGATATTTTAATTTTTGTTTTTTTCCTCCAGATATTTTTGATCTACCATGGGTTGAATCTAATGATTCAGAGAACTGACTAGTATATGTAAACTTAGGGCATTTTAGAAATAATAATACAACTGCCTTCAGTAGACTACTTAACTCTCTGCCAGGCAGTGTTCTAAAGATATTGAATGTATTGGGTCATCTGATCCTCACAATAACCCTGTGAGGTAGGCACTATTACCCTGTTTCTCAAATGAGGAAATAGGATCACAGAAAGGTTAATTAATGTACCTGAGGTTACTCAGCTAGGATTACAGCCAGTATTCAAGAACTTGTGCATTTGATCTTAACTGCTGTCTAATAGTTAATTGTCATCTCTCCCAGATTTTACAGTAAGGTTAATTGTTGGCATAATATATAAATATATACCATACTAATAAAATAAAAAACAACCAAATAAAATGTTGACTCTTATTTGAACATTTGCTGAGCTCTATAATCAGTATTGAGTGATTGACTGGATTGTCTAGGAAGGCATCGTTGTAACAGATAACGGCATTAGTGCTAGAGTTGGTAATCAGGATTTCAAAACCTGTGTTTAAAAAGCAGCTACATATTTATTTATTTATAGCTGTGATTTGTAGAGGTACTGATAATGATTTTGGTAAATCAGCATTTATTATGATTGGTTTTGATGAGTATATCAGCTCAGCTGTAGTCTTGGACTTTAGTAAAATCCATTAGAATGTTTACAGGATTAATTTTGTTATTCTTTCTACTCTTTTAGTAAAATAAAACAGGGTCTGTTACCTAGCTTGGAAGATTTGCTGTTCTATACAATTGCAGAAGGACAAGAGAAGATACCTGTTCATAAATTTATTACAGTAAGTTTTTGTATTTTCCTATTTTAACTTTAAAGAATCAGTAATAATTAAATCAATATGCAATATTATTGAAATACAGTCTTAAACATCATCTGACATCTAGATTCTAACTGACACTGTTTCTCTTACTATGTTTTCAAATTTTTATCATGCTCATTTCAAGGTAATCAGTGAAAGACAAAGAAAGAAACAATGAGAAATTTATCCAGAAAGTGGGTAATAGTGACAGTAAAATGCCATATACATGTTCTTGGGTAGAAATTTTTATATACAAGGATAAAAACTTGTAGTTGGAATAAGCATATACATTATTTGTACTGTATATTTACAAACTCTTATTTTTTTAAAAACAGGCACTCAAATCTACAGGATTGCGAACGTCTGATCCCAGGTTGAAAGAGTGTATGGATATGTTAAGATTAACTCTTCAAACAACATCAGATGGTGTCATGCTAGACAAAGATCTTTTTAAAAAGTAAAAATTTCTGCCAAACCTTTAATGGTGATTTGCTATGCTATATGATGATTTTGCTTTAAAAAAAAAAAAATTGCATCTTCGAAGGCCAGTGCTTCCTATGTAACTGAAAAGAATGGATTTATAAACATCATTTGTTTGAAGAACTTGGTGCACATTAATGTCTTATAATACACCAGGCTAAGAGTTTATGCTTTCTTTAAATCTGTTCTAAGGAAATCCAGCATTCAATTTATAGTACCTGTAGGTAACATTCAGTTTGAGTAGGGCATACCCTTTTTCCTGTCATTGCTTATATTGATCCCCAATTTATCTGCATGTCTTGCAGGCTTTCTCAGCATAGTCTCTAGTTCTTTTCCACAAGGTGACTTAGATGACATCATAAAATGGCAGGGCTTTAGAGAGCCCTATGTTCCTCAGATTTACATACCTGCATTATCTGCTTCTCCTCTCCTTAGACATTTATTTTCATTTTCCTTAGGCTATTTATTTTCATTTTCCTCAAAACAGAACTAAAGACAACTTTGGAAATTAAAGCCTTGATTTGGTTGAATGAGAATATTTATTTTTGTATTATATTTGCATATCTGTTTATTATTTATCTTCATTAATGTGTTCCTACTAATTTGATTACTGAAAGATTTAATGGACATCATGTTTGTAATGAATCCCAAAGAGTTAAATAGTATTTTAAACTAATCACATTTAAGTGGAAACTAGTATAAAACTGTAAACACTACTGTGAGAAATTGGCTTTTTACAGATCATAGATTTAGGCTGAGGTGAATCCAAAGAATTTCTGCATTTACTTTCAAAGTTTATTAGTTTGTAGCATGCATTTACTCTTATTTCCTTTACTTTTGGGAGCTGAATGATTTGTTCTAGAGATCTCTTGGGAATATCCTGGAGTATTAAGTCATCTAAAGGTATAAGTATTTAACTGAGGTTCTCTGAAGTTTCCTGGCATGCTGTGAAGCACTGCTAACAGTTTTGGATTCTTACCTTTTCTCCAGGAGCTGCTTGGTTCTTTTAACTAAGCTGGTAGAGGTTTAGATTTTAGGTCCATGTTGCAATTTTGAGTCTCCAGAATCTACTTTTTTTTTGTTGGGAAAAAACAATCATTTCTAGACTTATTTTTATCTTTGCAGTAGGATTATGTTGTTATTAGTGTTCATGAACTCTGTGCAAGATATTCTGATTATGGTGCTTTCTGGGGAGTTATTTAGGTGAATCTCTGAACTTGTCAGAGAAATGGTAGGTAGATCTGTTGATAATCAGTAGGGAAACTGCTTTGGAATTTTAAGTGCCAGCAGTATTTTATACATTTTTAATGCTTTTAAAAATGTTTGCATTATGTCAACATGTTGTATTTAAACATAAAATTAAAAGCAGTTTAAATACTCTGACTATGAAGCCAGGGAACCATAATTTAAAATTTTCTACCTGCAATTACCTACCTCGAGACGGTAATTACCATTGTTTTAAACACTAATCTGATTAAAAATTGTGATTGTAATACAAGCAGTTTCCAATTTGACAAAAGCTTATGGTCTATATGAATAGATAGTGGGAAAGTACAAATCTATGGGCATAATGATATCTCTTTTTATTGTAGAATGAGGTGATTCAGAACCTCCAACTATTAACCTTTTCAGGTCACCTGGAAAGGTGATTGATTGCTCCAGAGATGTTCTTTGTCTGTTTTCAAATATAAAAAGTTACCTAGCTAGTGTTGCCAGAAATAAACTATCTCACCTCCGCACAGCTAGGAGGAGATGTTAAAACATAGAATTCATTTTCCTAGAGAAATAATTTATAAAGGTGGGTAGGTTTAGTTGGAGCAATGTGTTGATATTTCACCTAAAATACATTGTGATTAATATATTTAGCCTTTGTTGGTAATCTGAGAAACAACTATTATGTATGACTTTTTTTTTGACATGGGAAAATGAGTTCTAAGCATATTTTTTGGAGTATGATCTAGTTGAAAGTTGGAGACTGCCTGTACCCATCTAGATAGAAAAATTTTGTTGAAAACTAATCCTTTATTCATGAATTTTTTTTTTTTTTTTACCTTGTAGGTATGAGAGCTATTTTTATGTGTGGGTGTCATAATTTTGGGTCTTTTGTTTTCAAAGAAAGTGAATGATAGTCTTTACATTTGTATGTTTGATTTTCAAAGAATTTTCATATTTTATTAATGAAAACTTACATGGGTAATAATATTTTGTAAAATTATATATTACAGTTTTTAATCATAAACATTTAAGGAAATCAAATGATTATTTCCAGTTTACAGATAAGAAAACTGAACAAAGCACAGAGAAAGATAAAACTTAGTGAAAAGTATAAGCCCCTCCTTCTCACAGTTCATTTTATGTGACTTCAAATTTCCTAGTTAGACTCATGACATCTATATTAAAATAACTCCCAAGAAAAACTTTATTATTTGTAACACTATGTAGTTAGACACTCTTCTGAGAAGTAAGATTGCCTTTGTCAGCCATGTTAAGGCTGGGAAGGCTCTTGTCACAGCTTTTATCAGCACCTTCTGCTAGGGCAGCAGTTCTCAACCTGTGGGTTGCGACCCACAGGAACTGTATTAAGGTCTCGCGGCATTAGGAAGCTTGAGAACCACTATGCCAGGGCAAAAGAACTTCAGAGTTTTGCATACTGCACAATTTTGTTAATTATAAATCCGTTTAAAAATGCTGATTAATTTTAAATAGTTAAATAGTTAGTAGTAGGTTAATAATTTAAATGTGTTTGGCAGTTCTTATATCTTCTCATTTGTAACTTCTATAAAAATGAAATAATAGATTCGATTTGATACAGATAATAAATACTGAGTTAAGATAAGGAGTTCTGGCTGGACATGGTGGCTCACGCCTGTAATCCTAGCATTCTGGGAGGCCAAGGTGGGTGGATTGCTTAAGCTCAGGACTTTGAGATCAGCCTGAGTAAGAACAAGCTGGAACTTTAGGCGTGCACCACCACACCCAGCTAATTTTCAAATCTTTTGTAGAGATGGAGTTTTGCTTTTGCCCAGCCTAATTTTGAAATCATAGCCTTAAGTGATTCTTCCACCTTGGCCATCCAAAGTATTAGGATTACAGGTATGAGCCATCATGCCCAGCTTAAGTCCTGTTTTGAACAAAGCAGAATACTGTTTCACATCGTTAGATTTCATGCCCTCCACTTGGTTTACCTTGTGTTTTTAAAAATAGCTGATAGTTGGCTTGGATCCCATAGCATGGTGGTTACAGTGCTGGCCACATGCACCAAGGCTGGTGGGTTTGAACCTGGCCTGGGCCAGCTAAACAACAATAACAACTACAACAAAAAAAAAAGCCGGGTGTCGTGGTGGGGTCTGTAGTCCCAGTCCCAGCTACTTGGGAGGCTGAGGCAAGAGGATCACTTAAGCCCAAGAGCTTGAGGTTGCTGCGCGTTGTGATGCAACAGCACTCTACTAAGGGTGATATAGTGAGACTCTTGTCTAAAAAAAAAAAACAAGAATAGCTGATAGCAAAATGTTTTTATTCCATGGTATGTTACATCTCTTACATTAACTAGAAATAGGTAATTTAACATTTCTGTTGACTTCAAATAATATAAAATTAGTATATGAAATTTTATTTGAAATTACATATTACTTTTTATAAACATTGTAACAAATATTTCTTTTAATAGATAAATTTGTCTTACTAAACTAATTTTTTACCCTAGCAAGGCATATTTTTCAAAATATAATTTAGGAAAAATATGTTAACATGCAAGATGTTCAGTTTTCTTGTGAAATACTACATAATAATTCTACAGGAACTAAGAGGTATATTTCTGAGGTTACTTCATGAAAAAACACCAGGTATCAAAAGTCTGATTGTTGTTAAAAATATGTCATGTTTACCATTAAGGATAGAATAAGAAACTTTTTTCATATGGTCTTAATACTTAAACCTGATGGAATACTTTGTTGTTTTAATGTGTGACATAGTTTTTAGGCAAATTTAATTTATTTTTGTAATGTGTTCAATAGCTTACAAGCAAGTACATGAATGACAGCTGGAAGGAAAGAAATGTAGAAGGAATATAATTCATAGAATTCAATTGTATAAAATGATAAGTTTCTCTCTTGTTTAAATAGTGGGTTAATATTCTCTTAATTAGTACTGTTATTACCAAGCACTAATATTTGAAAGGCAAATCTATTAATTTCTTTTCTCACATTTCACAGATGTGTTCAAAGCAACATTGTTTTGTTGACACAAGCCTTCAGAAGAAAGTTTGTCATTCCTGACTTTATGTCTTTTACCTCACACATCGATGAGTTATATGAAAGTGCTAAAAAGCAGTCTGGAGGAAAGGTAATATTTTTGATGCGCATATTTTCCTAGACCAGTCATTTAATAATTTCAGCATAATTTGAAGTCTAAAGAGTAAAATTACGTAGTTTCCTCTTGTGTTTTGCTTAAGAAAACTTTGCTTAAGCAATTTAAGTTAAATGAAGCCTCTGGATTTAGTACTTTTAAAATATTTTAACTATTTAACTTTAAGTATTTCTCTGGCTAAAAGAACTCAAAGTTTAAGACTTTTTTTCAGATTTTTTTAAAATTTAATTTTCAAATGATTGGGATGGCTTTTAAATTTTTAATTTTTAAAAAAACCTTACTGAGAATTTCTGTGGTCTGAAATTCTTGAACATTAAATGAAAGGTTTCTAGTTTTAAAAATCCTCTAAGTAATACTAGGAGCTGTTTTATTTAATTTCCATATGGAAAGGTATTTTCTTCTGTTTTACCTTTAAGTAATTTTAGTATAATATACTTGACCCTTTAACAGTGCAGGGGTGAGGAATGCTGAGCCCCTATATAGTTGAAAATCCAATATAACTTTTGCCTCCCTTAAAGTTAACTAGTAATAACTACTGTTGACTGGAAGCCTTAAAGTAGCATAAACAGTTGATACATATTTTGTATATGTTTTATATTCTGTATTCTTACAACAAAGTAAGAATAGAAAATGTTTCTGAGGAAATCATGAAGAAGGGGAAATATGTTTACTGTTTGTTAAATGGAAGTGGATCCTTATAAAGGTCTTCATCCTTGGAATCTTTACCTTAAGTGAGCTGAGTTGGAAAAGGAGGGGTTGGTTTTACTGTCTTAGAGGGTGGCAGAGGTGGAAGAAAATCTATGTAGAAGCGCATACTCACAGTTCAAACCTGTGTTGTTCAAGAGTCAACTGTATAACCTCTTGATAATATTTTAGTGTAAATACTTACTATTTTTCAGTATCTGATTTTTAATTTTTTAGTTAGTGAAACCCTACCATTATCCATAACCCTAATTAAAGAAGTTTGTAACTTCTTTCTTGTAAAAACAGTGAGGTCCAAGTTCTTTTAGACTCTTCACTTTTTTAGGAAAAAAGAAAGATTGACAAACAGAATGATAGTGACTGAGAGAAGTACTTTAGATCTCACTATAATCCTCAAATCTTTGTGTCCTTTGTTTTCCTTAACATTGTCTTAAAAGATAGACTACAGAGCCATAGAGTGTTCTAAAATAACTAATTGTGGAAGCTAAATAGAGACAGGAAATTTTTTGGTAGAAGAAAATATGTTACTTGGTTATATCTGTTAATTTGTTTACAATATTTTTGGATAGGTTGCAGATTATATTCCTCAACTGGCCAAATTCAGTCCTGATTTGTGGGGTGTGTCTGTCTGTACAGTAGATGGGCAGAGGTGAGTTTATTTCAAATACACGTGAACTAACTATAGGCTTTAAATTATGCGTAATAGTGAGTGTGACATAGAAAAGACCATCTTTTCTAGTTAATATTAGTCCTAACGTGACATAATTTCAGTAAGGTAAGTTAGCTTAGATTTTAATGTAATTTTTAACTCAACTGAGACAGTAACCTTATACTAAGTTTTATGAGGCATTTCAGCTGTATTATTCCCATTTGTAGTCTTGCTAGGTATTATTCAAGTACCTGTACTTATAAATTGGTATAGGAAAAGCAGACTTTTCAAAACATGACATTATTATCTAATGAACTGACCACTGATAAAATTAGTACCCATTTCTCACCTTACCATTGGTAACCTATTCTCTGATTTTCTTTGTTCTTCATATTCCTGTTATGATTAGCATGAGAGCTGAACAATGCACATCCTGTTATCCATCAGTCATTTGCAAAGTGACAAGTTAATTGCAAAACATGTAGGATTTCATGAAGTCCATGGAAGCAGTATTTGGAAAGGCTCACATTGTAGTCATAGCTGCTGGTAAATGAAGAACTTGCAGAATTATAAAAGGATAGTGATGTGAGGGTGCTTTAAAGAGAATGACTTAAAAAAAAGATTTGATTTAGGGGCAGCACCTGTGGCTCAAAGGAGTAGGGCGCTGGCCCTATATGCCAAAGGTTGCTGGTTCAAACCCAGCCCTGGCCAAAAATTGTAAAAAAAAAAAAAAAGATTTGATTTAAAAATTAAAGAATTAAAAGAGGCCCTTGGAAAATCATAAAGTTCTATAATTTTTTTTCCAAGAATATTCCTTTTTACTGTGCTGGGAGTCCAACAAAGATTTATTGTGTCATATTTTGGTTTTGTCAGAAGAATTATGCCAAAGAGAAAAATCAGTATTCTTTTTTCATTCAGTTAGAGACTTAGCTCAGAGATGTATTCTTTTTGGCTTTTGTTTTTTATAGAAGCAATTATTTCTTTTTTTACTAAAATATAACTTGCATAAAATTAAGTTGTACAACTTATAAAGGACTACAGCTTGAAGAATTTATATCACAGATGTAATTTTACCCAAATTAAAACTACAAGTCATTTAATAATTTTAAGTTTCACTTTTCAAGATAATGTTACAATTAAAACTTTATCTTTTGTGAAAATTTGTGTACTTTTATTTTTTACTAATTATCCTCAAATATATTTACAATAAAAAAATGTGAGTTAGCCCATTCATTTTTTTTTTTTTTTTT